GCAAGCCCCGCCGGTGCAGGGACCCCCGGCCGGGGCCCCGCACACCCCCCAGACCCCGGGGCCCGGGGGCCCTCCCAGCACGCCAGCCCAGACCAACCCGCCAAGCCAGCAGAACCAAGGAGACAAACAGCAGCAGCAGCAGCACATTGAGTGTGTGGTTTGTGGGGACAAGTCTAGTGGCAAACATTATGGCCAGTTTACCTGCGAGGGGTGCAAGAGTTTCTTCAAGCGGAGTGTAAGGAGGAATCTCAGCTACACTTGTCGTGCCAACAGGAACTGTCCCATTGACCAGCACCACCGCAATCAGTGTCAGTACTGCCGCCTCAAAAAATGCCTCAAAGTTGGCATGAGACGGGAAGGTATTGGGATTTCATTTGTTTTGCAATTTTTTTTTTCCACTCGCTGCGTTTTGGGGTTTGTTTGGTTGTGTGGGGTTTTTTATTCTTCTTATTATTATTTTTAACTTCCCTCCCCAAACCCAACCAGAACCTTTCCTTCCCCCCCTCCTCCCTCCCACCCCTCGAATAAACAGACAGAAACTTTCTCGGAATGAAAGAAAGAGGTGTTGCAGAGGGTGGGCAGGGGCTCTTGCATGCTTTCTCCCGCGCTCGTAATTGATTTGTGTTTGTTTTGATTTTGCTGATGGAGGTTTATTGGAAGTGGATTTTTAGTTTCACGCTGCTTAGGAGCGAGGTGATTACTCTGACGTGTGGTTACTTTTCCTTCGTCTTTCCTCCTGCATGAGCCCCCGTCCCCCGAGCAGCTCTGTGCGCGTGTGTGTGTGTCTCTGTGCGTGTGTGTACACACACACGGAGCCTCACGAGATGCACACACACACATATATATCCCCCAGCACCCTGCCTTAGATTGCAATTTTACACAGGCGGTTCAAATTACTATTACAATGGGACTCACCCTACCGAGGCTCTACAGCACTCCACTGTGGATTCCCAGCCGGATTTTTCCTCCTTTAAAAATATGTATATACACACACAGATCCGCGCGCGTGTGTGCGTATATATACACCTCTATAGATAGACAGCCGTGTGCCTGCCTTTCCTGATTGTTATTATCTTACTTTTCTCTTCTTCCTCCTCTTTTCTGGTCCCTCCGGGAGAGGCAGGGGGGAGCAGAAGGGACCCGGGGGGGGAGTATGTGTGTGTGTGAGGGGAGAAGGAGCAGCCCAGAAGTAAGCGTGGGGTGTTCGGGTCTCTGCAAGTCGAGTCTTTGTGATATAAAATTAGACGAGAAATGTGAGCCTGCAGTTTTCCAGTGCCTGCTCTGTGTCTGGACGCTGCCATGTAGGTTAAGGGTTAGGGGGCTTGGGACTCGCTGGGCTCCTCTCTTTGTGTTTCTGCAAGAGTAACTAACCTTGCGATATGTGCGATAACAAATATAAATCAAGCATGTTTTTAGGCGTCCTCTCTTCTTGCCGTCCCTCTGCCTCTGAGCCCTTTTTCTCTCTCCTTTTTCTCTCGCTGTCACCGTGTAAATTTATTAACAAAATGAAAGGCCCACTTTCCATGGGCAGCTGAGGAAGGTGCCTTTGGCTAATGCCCCCAGCCTCGCCGGGGAACCTGCCGGGGGTGTTGTGGGGTGATCTGGCCCCCTTTGATATTTTTTATAAGGGCGGTGGGGGGGGATATATAAATATATTGATATAATAACAGCAGCAACAGTATCTTCAGTGTGCGAGAAACGCGTGTGGGACCAGCGCCGGGGCTTCTGAACTGAAGTGTTTCCTCCCTCTCCCCCCCCAGCCCGCTCCCCCAGTCCCAAATCGATGAGCTGGTTTAGGTTTAATGAAGAAAAATAACCCGGGTGCACAAAGACGTGTCCCGCATCTCTTGTGGGAGGGGTGGCGGCGGGGAAATAACTGAACTGCGGTGTGTTTGGGGAAGGCAGGATCTCGGGCTCCCTCAGGCAGCCCTGGCCGAGCGGACAGCATCGCTCAGCTTTTCGTGTTGCTTTTACTTGACCCGGGAACTTGCGGAGCCTTAAAACCGGGTAGGGGCTGAACTCTGGCTGGGGCGGGGGGGCGAAATGCCTGTTCCCCCTTAAGCTGGCTTGGTACGGTGTCACACAGGCAGGCACAAGCACACAAAGCAGGCTGTATTTGAACCGATGGTCGCAATTCAGATATTAATAGCTGTAGTTTCTTCTTTATTTACTGCAGCGGTCCAGAGGGGCAGAATGCCACCCACACAGCCAACTCACGGTCAGTTCGCCTTGACAAACGGGGACCCTCTCAACTGCCATTCCTACCTATCCGGATATATCTCCCTTCTTCTGAGAGCAGAGCCCTACCCCACCTCCCGCTTCGGCAGTCAGTGCATGCAACCCAACAACATCATGGGCATCGAGAACATTTGTGAACTGGCAGCTAGGATGCTCTTCAGCGCGGTGGAGTGGGCCAGGAATATCCCCTTCTTCCCAGACCTCCAGATCACAGACCAGGTGGCTCTCCTGAGGCTGACCTGGAGCGAGTTGTTTGTCCTCAACGCTGCCCAGTGCTCCATGCCCCTCCACGTCGCTCCGCTGCTGGCAGCTGCCGGCCTCCACGCTTCGCCCATGTCTGCTGACCGAGTGGTCGCCTTTATGGACCACATACGAATCTTCCAAGAGCAAGTAGAAAAACTGAAAGCATTGCATGTCGACTCTGCAGAATATAGCTGTTTAAAGGCCATAGTCCTCTTCACCTCAGGTAGGCAGCGTTTCTTTGCTCTCCCTTTTTCCTCCCCGGCCCCCTCCCCTGCCCCGAGAACTGTTTGCTCTTGCACAGTGTTATTGCCTGCACCCCATCACCGCGCTCTGCCCCCCGAGAACCAGCGCGGTCTCTCTCCTTTTAGGAAAAAGTGGTCTCTCCTTCAGGGCCTCGGGTCTGAGCAGCCCATCTTCGAGGGAGTGCAAAATTAATTTTAAAAAATAAATAAATAAAATAGAGAGAGAAAAAGACAAGCAAAACACACCGCAACCCTAGCTGAATAATGCTGGGGACGAGGAAAGAGGGGACTCATGGAAAGGCACCCATTCGCCACAAGAGACTGTGCTTTTCCCATTGAAAATAATATTTTATTTAACAGTATAGCTCTGGGTTGTTGCATTTAATGACACGCATCCTAACAGCAGCAAAATCTGTTTGATGTTGTTAAATACAAGTCGTCCTATCAGTGAAACCACTTTAAAAAGAGGATCATTTTATGGGCAGCCAGGAAGGGAAAAAAGCCCTGCAGGATTAAAAATTGAATTTAAAAAAAAAAAAAAGTTAAATGCGCAAAGCTGAGTTTAAAATATGTTCCCTGCCATACCATAAAATAAAATAAATCAACTTTCCAAAGAGCTGTCTCTGATTTAAACGGAATGTGGCAGTGAGCAGTTCTGTGTCATTTAAGCTAAGGGGAAAAGTTTGCATTTGTACCCAGCGGGAACTGCATAGTCCAAAGCGAGTAGCGGGTGCGAAAAGATCATTACCATAAGTAGACAGGGATAATATGAAAAAGTAAGAGGAGACTGAGGCTGCCGCTCCGCAGTGTGATTCCGGGGGGGCACAACCGTGCCTCTCCCGAGGGAAAGA